AAGATGAATACTGAACTCTTTGGATAAAAATAACAGTGCAACAGAAAATCAGGAGACTTTAAAAGGAGAATTTCTGTGCCTACTAGAGAAGTAAAAAAAAAAAATATTGAATGCTTCAGAGTTCTCCTTTTATCTAAACCTCAGATCCTTTCTTGAGAAACGTGATGAAAGGATGAACTTCATTCAAGAAAAGAACGTGACATCTCAGTTCATCACAAGGATTCAAAGAATGAGCTGTTAACTAGGAACTGATTGAAAATGCTTTCTTTTTTTCTATTTTAGTCTATGTTAAAAATACTTCTAAAATTACGTTTTTTGCAGTTTTTTTGGGGGGGCATGCTTATGCTAGACCCTTAAGATGTTGTAAAATGGTACGTGAATAAGAAGTGTGGTGTTCAGATAAACCTGGAAAACATTGACTGTCAAGCGTTAGTCAAATGGATAAGCCATTGAAGATGTCACATGGGAAAAATGTAGGGTGACTCTAGGCCTGGCTAACTTGCAACTCAATTGAATTTTTACATCCCTACCACATTTTTATTCTGTTATTTGTGTGCTGTGTCATTGCCTGAGGACTGCAAAGTGACTGGAAGAACTGCGAGTGTGTGTGTGTGTGTGTGTGTGTGTGTGTGTGTGTGTTAGCTGGAGGGCTGACACTTTTGAGACTATTGAATACAATCTCTCTTTAAGAGCAAATAAACTTTCCCGGGAGTTCCCTCAATAAACTCTTCTTGCATCTCACTGTATAGAATTGTGTCCCATGCCTGTTCCTAAATCAGCCCTTGCCAAGGAAGTTGAATTGGCTTAGACCAAGAGGATTGACTCAGTGAGGCTCAGGAGGGGTCCAGAACCCCTCACTCCTATGGTGGCTGTCAGTACCTGAAGAGAACCAGATTTCAGTTAGAGGAGGAAGGCCAAGTGGTAGATGAGTAACTGGACTCTGAACTTGGCACACAGTTGTGTATGCCACAGTAGGAGAGGTCAAGTTAGCTTTTTGTTGTTGTTTTAATGAATTTCCCAGTTCTGATTTTCTTGATACAAGACTGAACAGGTCAAATCCTTGTAGCCCGAGAGACAAATATAACCCCCCTTTCTTAACAGTGTTTAATAAGCTAATGGGCCTGGTGACTCTTCAAGAAAGGACTAAAGTCTGTAATGTTTCACACATAATGAAATGCTTCACAATCTGAAATATTGCAGTTATTTTTCAAGGCATTCTTTCTGAGATGAATGTCTTTATAAATGCAGTTTAAAAACTGCTCTCCTGAATTACTAGTCTGAACCTGTTTCATAGTACATATTTTATAATGGTCATAATGCCATCAAGATTGCCTTTTTTAAGCACTATAAAAAAATAAGAGAAATTTGTAAAGTAGCAGGTTGTAAAATTAATATTAGAAAATGAATTGCCTTATAAAGTAAGTAAAGTAAAATGTTACTGTAAGAATCTAGTTGGTGAGTTCACTGTATAGTTATTTCAACCTTGCTCTACATTTAAAGTTTTTTATGATGGAAAGTTGAAAAATAATAAAACAACCACAACAAAATGAGAATAGCTTTTATGTATGCAACTCAAAACCCTTGGGAATACATAGCAAAGAAAACCATATTTTAATAGCAAAACTAAATAAAACACCAAGGCTGCCTTTCCTGGAAACACTCAAAACCCATGTGAGAAAAATTTTAAAACACTGTTGAAGGAAGCAAATGTAGATTTGAGCAAATGGAAAGACACAAATGGGAATTCTCACCTTTACAGAGATTTCTGTTCCAAGTTTATTTATAAACAGTGTAAACCCAGTAAATGTAACATTACATTTTTTTCCTTTTCTTGCAACAGATAGGTAGTTAATAAAGCTCGTTTGAGTAAATAAACAAAAATAACCAGGAAGATTTGAGGGGAAAAAAAACAATTCTGGTGAGAGAGGGGCCAACTCTACCCATTATTAAAATATGTTACAAAGCTCTTTTAATTGAAACTGGAGTATTGGCACATGAATAGACAAACCAAACAATGACATGGATTTAAAAAATCCAGAAATAGATGTAATTATTTATGGAAATTTATGTATAATAAATGAAGTGCTTCCGATCAGTTTAAAAAGATGAACTGGTGTATGTTACAATAACTGACTAACTGTATGGGAAAAGATAACATTTTGATTCTTCACACTGCAGAACAAAATACATTCCAAGTGAATGAAATATCTTAGTTTCAAAAATAAAATTATAGAAATACTAGAAGAAAACATGGATGGAATATTCTTTACTCTGGGAGTGGGAGCATTTTTTCCAAACATGATTGAAAATCCAGAAACAATAAGAAGACAATAAATTAATTTTTGGAAAAATAATTTTTAATCTAGTATTTTATTTGGACAATACCTAAAGTGTATAAAAGAAAAATAGCAAACCAGTAAAAATATTTGCAACTTAATCTCAAAGAATTAATATGACTAATTAATAAAAAGCTTTTAAAAATAGAGCAGAGGACCAACTTTTTATAAAAATTGGCTAGATTATAAACAATTTTCAGAAAAGACATACAATAGGCTTTATAGGTAAAGATATTCAGCCTCTCCTATAATAAGAAAAATGCAAATAAAAAAAGACTGTGGTAGCATTTCTCACATATCTGATTGACAGAAATCCAAGTTTGAGGACGTAACTTGTTTGTTGAGGTAGTTGGAAAACAAACACTCTCATTCTTTGCTGGTGGGAAAGCAAAGTAGTACAAAGTCATTAGAGGGGAACTTGCCAATATTTAGGAAAAATGTGTATGAATTTACTCTTTAACAAAGCAATACCGTTGCTCAGAATCAGTCACCGAAATATTCAGACAAGAATTAAAAAACATAAAATTGCCCAAAGCTGTTCCTGACACTACAGTTTCTAGACTGGTAGGTGTAATTGTTACTCTAAGGATGTTATCTGTGTATTGTGGATTAAAGCAAATGAATAATTATAATGGTGTCATTAAGAACCAGAATTTTCCTTCCATGAAAGAAAATGTGGCAAAGGTGTAAGAGTGTCAAGATTAGTAAAAACCCTGTAGTCCAGAATTTGAATTGGAACAGTATGGATTCATGGTGAATTTTATGTTTTTCAAAAAAAAGAAAAAAAATACTGCTCTACCCATACTGAAAAGGCGTGGACCCGGTGACAAGCAGTGAGCATGAGGTTGATTGGTATTTAAATGAGATACATATAAAATACAAAAGTGCTTTTGAGATAGTAATGTGTGCTCTGAGAAGGAAAAATGCCAGTCCACATAATTTTGGGAAATTCTGAACTTCCTTCTTGGAAATTATACTTTACATTATATTAAATGCACTGAAACAGTCTCTAAGTAAAGAAATCTAATAATATTTAACACAGTGACTGTCAGGAGCTCTTTGTTTTGCAGGAAAAGGGATTGTATGATTCCTATTGTTTCTCCATGACACAAATGTGCTATAGAAAACAATTGGGGAAATACTGCTGTGAAAGTGGAATTTAATTTTTGGGTAATTATTTGTCACAGAGGGACATGAGGTCTAAAGAGAGTTCCTGGCAGGATCGTGTACATAATGCATGCATAAATTAATACAGGTATTGTTTAGAATCTTTTAGATACTAAATGCTGTGTCCAGTACTGGGGACATAAGGAAAACAACAACAAAACAGAAAGTGGTAGAGCATTAAAATATTGTGCTATTCTTTGTTTTATAATAAATATTTGAAATGGTTTATTAAAATATTTGAAAGGCTAAGCATAAGCAACCATTGAATTGTGCCATGGAGAGAGAATTCAGTTGTGATGGCAAAAGCAAGGAGGGACATTTCTGGCAAACCAAAGACCATGTGAAAAGGTAACGTTAGAGTTGATGATGTATTCAGGAAAAAAGTCACCATACTGTCTGGAGCAAAAAAATTTTCAAAAGGATTGTGGGGAAAAAAGGTGAGGTTAGGCTAATGATGTGAGTTAAATGTTAATTTTGGCTTCTGAAAAACCCGAGCTGTCATCATTGCTCTACCAGTGCATGACCTCCAAAAGATGATTTGATTTCTGTAAGGCTCAGCTTTCCCATCTGTATAATGAGGATTAATAATATTTAGCTCGCAAAGTGAGGATGAAATGAAAAGAATGTATATAAAGCTTCCAGCACAGTGGAGAGCTCTTAATCACTGTCAGTCTTGTTGTTAGGCAGATAAGAACAAAATGATGAACGCCCTCCATTGTCAGGAGAGAAGATTTAGATTTGATTTTGTAGGCAGTGGAGAACCAGTGAGGAATTCTGAGCTTGGGGGCAAGGTGATTAGCTCTGTGGTTTGGAAATATGAACGTGGCGGGATGAGTACATGGAGGAAGACTGTTAGCATTGCATCCTGATGGGAGATGAGAAACATAAATAAGGTGTTGGTAGTGTGGCCAAAACTGTTCAGTGCTTGAGAGGTTGGGCTGTTCATTAGATAGATGTGGGAATGTGGAGTAAGCGACAGGAAAGAATAGAAAATGGCACCAGGGTTTCTGGCCTGAGCATCCAGTAATCCCAACAACTGAGACGGCATAGGGAGCGGAGGAGGTATGTAGAAGAAGGTCACGAGTTCAGGGGGGAATTTAGTTGTTTTCTATCATTTTCTTTTGGGCTGCCACCTTTCCAGACGCAGTGAGCTTTGAAGATCCGAGTGTGACAGCCCGGCCTCTAATCCCAGCAACCCCTTCATTCTATATACACCACTGTGTTTGGAATAAATAGTGTGTTGACTTCTTCCAAAAGCTGTTGTAATCCTTTGGAGTGCTGCTCTAAAATGTGTCTGGGACACCAGGAGGGTTTGTGTCATGTGCTCTGAAGTCAAATACCAAAAGCTATTAAAACCACCAGACGTGGTAGCCAAACATGGGTATGTGGTATACTCTCCAAAGCTCTGTTTTCTTTAAGCTTTGATGAAAGTAAATGCAAATGTAAGCATCCTACTCAACACCAGTCTTTGTGTGTGTTCCTTGTTTTAATGTGCAGGACAGGAGAGAATTGGAAAAGATTCCAACTATGAGCAGGAGGGTAAAGTTCAGTTCGTGATTGACGCCGTGTACGCAATGGCTCACGCCCTACATCACATGAACAAGGACCTCTGTGCTGACTACCGGGGTGTCTGTCCGGAGATGGAGCAAGCTGGGGGCAAGAAGTTGCTGAAGTATATTCGCAACGTGAATTTCAATGGTGAGTCTCCAAACATCCATCCCTTTTTGAAATCCTAGTTGTTGGCATTCTGCATTTTGTAACTTATGTAGTTGGGTGGTTATTTACTCTTGAGCATGTTGACTATATAATTTCAAGTGATTGAATCAGTTATAGGATTGAATGAGTAGTGAGTGAGGCCATGAATGAATGAATGAATGAATGAATTTTGGGAGGTCATGGTTTGGCCTCCTTTTCTTAAAGTAGAAGTGTTGGGTGTTTTGTTTCTTGTTTTTTTGCCAATTTTTTCCTCAGTGAATGTAAGGACAAATGGGAGGGGATAAGAGGAAAAGGAAGGGACAGTTGCTCTAGGTACTCAAGTTAACCGAAGTAATGATTGTAATCTGTCCACACCAACCACCGATTTCAGATTACAGACGTATTTCTCAAAGTATAAAATTCTGGTGGAAATTAATGGGCTACCTAAAAGAGATGGGTGGGTGGGAAAATTGGTGGTTAGGGTAGAAGGCATAAAGGAAGAGTACCATTTCTCTGATCATACCTTTTACCCCTTTAAGGTAGTCTTGACTCTTAAAACATCTTAATGCTCCACATACCAAAACCTAAATAAATAATTAAAATTTGCCCAAATGTGGATTGTATTTGTCAGGGTTCTCCAGAGACAAAGGACCGCTAGGCTATGTATGTATGGAGAGAGAGAGAATAGGAGATTGAGTGTAGGAATTGGCCAATGCAGTGATGAAGGACACATCTCACACCTGCCATCTGTAAACTGGAGAACCAGGGCAGCAGTGGTGTGGTTCAGTATAAGTGCCAAGGCCTTGGAATGAGGGTTGGTGGTGTAAGTCCCAATCTGTGTCTGAAAGCCACCGAACAAGGAATTCCAGTGTCTAAGGGCAGGAGGAGATGGGTGTCTCTACTCAAGGAGAGAGAGTGAATTTGCCCTTCTTTTGCCTTTTGTCCTATTCATACCCTGAAGGGACTGGATGATGCCTGCCCGCATTGAGGGAAGGGCATCTGCTTTATTCAGTTCAACAATTCAGATCCTAATCTCTGCCAGAAATCTCCTCATCTGCACCTAGAAATTAAATTTTACCAGCTATCTGGGCATCCCTAGTCAAGCTGACACATGAAATTAACCATCTTAAATGTCAGTTATATCTCAGTCAAAAAAAACCCATTACATACTTGTAGTACAAAATTTAATATGGTAATAAACCTGAATACATTACATATGAATGACATAACCACGCGAAAGGGGATGAGGAAGAAAAAAATGAGTGCAAATAATTTTAGAAGACAGAATTTGACTATATACTGTAAGACTAAAGACTTCTATACACAGATATACAATAGTTAGTACATTACTGTGTGTTTTGTCAGGACTCTGAAGATTGTTTATGTGCATCAGAGGGCTGAGAGGTTCAATTAAAATAATGTGGATAATGAGAGGCAGGTCTCTGATTGTCAGAGAAAGAAATTGCTAATCAGGATGAGAGGAAGCTCAAATAAATCTTACTGTGTTGGATTAGAACAGAAGATACCAGCATGATCACAGGGCTGTTAATGTACACGCGGATGGGGAGATACATGGATATGTGTATGTTGCATATGTACGTAAACCTTTAATGCCTAGTTCTGTCCATTGAGAGGGTCTAGGAGAAATGACACCTCGGTAGAAATGGCTACATCTAACACCCACGTTTTATTTATAAATGCCATTCTCCAATGAAAAAACTAGGGCTCCCTCATTAAACCATTGATTCAGGGGCCAGGGCAGGACATGTACAAGATGAGTTGGAAACATCATGTGCCACCAAGTGAGAATGTCTCAAAAACTGCTGGGGTCACGTTGAGAGGGCACCAAAACCAACTTGCAGAAGATGCCATTGGCTAATTCTGGGCCAACCATGGATTAAACTCATAGAATATAAATACTGATATAAATACATAACTGAATTGAATACATAAATGCAGAAGGGCCAGGGTGATGGAATGATGCAAATATGGAAATACAAAAATCACCGTTTTGCACTGGCCTCAGTAATAACTGTTTCAGGCACAACTCATCAGTGGATGCTAAAATGATTGGGCTAAAGTAGGAGGAGAAATAGGATATTTGTATAGTCTCAAAGTATCCTTCTTCATGGAACATACTCATTACAGAGGGGGAATGAGCAGCTTTGAAGTGGAGAAACCTGGAAGACAGCCCTTCACCAAGTCGCCACGGTCAGCATCACAGTAATGAGACTTCATAGCATCACTGCCTCCTGGTATGAGACACCCAGGGAAGGTTAGGACATCACTTCTAAGGCCTCATTGCCAAAACCGTAGCCTCAATCTAACCATGAAGAAGCATCAGACATCCATAATTGAAAAACATCTTACAAAATAACTGGCTAGTACTCTACAGAAGTGTCCAGGTCATGAGAAAAGATAGATGGAGGAAGTGTTCCAGACTGGAAGAAACTAAGGAGACATTACTATTAAATGCAATGTGGGAGCATTGATCTTAAACCAGAAAAAAGAAGGATATTAATGGGACAGTGGAAGAACTTCTAATGAAACTTGAGGATTAGTTTTAAATAGTATTCTATCAATGTTAATTTCCTGGTTTAGATAATTATATTATGGTTAAAAAAAAGGCTTCTTGCTTCTCTGCTTGTAAATAACAATCCATTTAAAGCCACAATATCCTATCAATCATTCATGAATTACCGAGTAACTCAGTGAAGAGAAGCCACATCTGATTTTAGAACCAAGAGTTTTTGAGTTAAGATAGAGACAAAAATGATAATGTATATAGCCAGAAAATAGTTCGACTACATATGATCTTCGTTTTGTAGTTTCTTCCTGATCTTGCAGAAACTCTTAAAACAAAACATTAATTTCCCCAGAACCAAGCATATATAAATTTTATTACATATCCTGGGGTCGGTTTCTGGGCTTTAAATTATGGTCCATAGGTATGCGTGACCATTCTTACACTAGTAACAACAACAAAAAGTCATTTGGGGGATGTTTTTGGTGATTCTCATCAGATTCTTCTTCCAGATAATGCTTGTAGAATCACTGTGTTAAGATGATTTTATCCACTGAGGAGCCCAGGTTGCTGAGTTTCTGATTGGACACAGGCCTGTATTTATCAAATGATTACCGTGTGCAGCAAACTGCTAAGTACTTTTTGTGTGTTGGCTTACTTAATATTCAAAATGCCAAATGGTTTAGATCATTTCCTTCCTTCCTTCCTTCCTTCCTTCCTTCCTTCCTTCCTTCATGTATTTTTTTTCACTAGTAAGGAAACTGATTCACAGAGAAAACAAGACTTATGACGCTCAAAGCCACACAGTTAGGTTGTGATGATGCTGTAATTGGTACCTAGGGCATAACACCATGGCCTGCTCCCTTGACTATTATTAAGCATCTGAGAGGAAGGGGTTACTGCAACATGCCTGCTGTTCCATCTTAGAACAAAGGCTCTGTGGGAGTTTACAGAAAGGGCCAATTGTTTCTCTCTTTGGCATCATAGTAATCATGCTGTGTGTTCACCATGATCTCCTTTACTCTGGTGATATTTCTTTCTGCCATGGGGACAGGCAGGAGACTTCTGGGGTACTGTGACATTTGTTAATAATGGGTCTCAACAGTTTTGTAAAACAAAAACAAAAAACCTGTGTTAGATTTAGTGAAGTGGTTTTCATGTCACTTTAAGTGAGCAACTATTAGGGTGAAAAGAAACTTGACATTGTTTAGTCATTCAATTTCCTGATTTTTAAATAAAGAAATCAAATCCTGGAGAGCAGAAGTTATTTCTTCGAGACTTTACAGCTAGCAAATAAGAGGCAGATCTAAAATTCAAGTCTCTTTCCCTTCTGGTCTGTTATTAAAAATGTAGCCTCTCTTTTGCATGTTTTAGAAAATTTTTGATGTTTCTTTTTTTCAATAAGCCTAATTGTGCTCTCTTGTTACATTCATATAAAATGTTCTATACTCCTGGGAGTTTTGTTCCAGACCAGGAGAGTACAATTTAACAACTCTGACCATCACATTTATAAAAGCATTAATTTAGGAAACGATAATAGAATGTTCTAAAACTATTGACTACATCTTCACGAAATACTTAACCTCCTCTTGTGCACCAACAGAAAAGATGGCTAATTTTGTCTTCATCACTCCTAGCCATCTTTTCCTGCATCCCAAATGAATGCAATGACCTGAGACTGAATTTTAGTTCTCTCTCGATGATGTTGGCCTATCCAACCAGATGCCAACACTTAAAAGTTTCACGCATTTGTTGTCTTGAATACACAATCTTAGACAATTGCCACATTGTGAAGTATTTAACTTAAAGTATGTCTGTACCTTGATTTACTACTTTCCAAAGAACAGATTGGGTCGGGATATATTTAATATAGATGGCGCATCTCATGTTCTCTTCTTGAAACATGAAGTTAGCTTTCCCTCATTGAGGAGTGAGATCTGTGTTCCCTTCCCCCAAATCTGAGTGACTAATAGAGGAGTAGCAACAAGTGACTTTTAAGGCATAACATGTAATAGGGCTTCTGCCTGGTTCTCGTGGGACTTCCGTATTATGAACACAGCTACCATGTTAGGAGGAAGCCAAGAAGCCAGTGGACCAGCTACATGTGGGTGTCCCAGCCAGAGCCCCAGCTTGGGTCACAAACTGTTTAGCCGGCTTCAGTTGTCAGACATGTGAGCTTCAACTTGCCCCAGCTGCTGTGAGTGGACCGGAGAGGGGTTGTTTTTGCCAATCCCTGCCCCAGTTGCAAAATACAGGTTGTCTTTTTTTTTTTTTTTGAGCAGTATGTTTTAGGATAGTTTGTTGAGCAGCAAAAGATTAACTGGAACACAAATCAGTGCAGCATTTCTGGAGTCTGTGCATAGGGAGGCAAAAAGAGAAGAGAGAACCTGTCAGGTAAATACTTTGATGCTGAGTGCTGTTTTGTGATCTACTTCCCAAATCCTTATCAATCCAGGAAGAAAGGAATGATACTCAGATACTCTCATCTGGGAAGGAGACTTCGTACCTGAGTGCCTTCCATCTCCCATCATTCTGTCCCAGTATCCCTGCTTGCTTTACCTTAGGACACTTGCCTTCTGGCCCAGGTTCCTGGTAGAGATTTCTGCAGGTGATCACTTCTCCTTTGATAACTTATTTATTTTCTCTGGATTTGTTTTATCTTTTTTTTTTAACTATTCATTAAACACAGTGACTCTTTTTCTCTTTCAAGAAGTTCAGGGGTGCTGTTTAAAAGAAGTTTTGTGGAGAAAAAAAAACAAACTGCCAAAACATGCCAGTTGCATTGTAGAATCCATCAGAAAGGGCAAAGCCACACAATACGCTGTTACCAGTCACTTAGATAAGCTGTTCAGCTCTTCTTCCGTATTTATTTATTTTTTAGAGCATGAACTTAAGTGAGAACAGAAAGGGAACTGCAGGGATCATTTCTCCTCAAAAGATTGTAAGAAGGGAGACAGGTGAGGTGGGTACCATCCTGATGAATATTTTCCTGGTGGGCTTGAGATCCTTCATAGCTCCAGGCCTCCAATCATCTTCCTCTCTCTTCGCAAAGACTGAAAAGCTTAATTAAGTCATATTATTTACTGAGTAGAAGCTGTAGAATTATAGCAAAGCACAAGATGAATCCTAGTATTCAGCGTGCAGTCTGAATATTAATGTCTTCCTGAAAAATAATGAATAGTGTGGAGATAGCATGGAGTTTTGTATAGCTGCCCCTGGTACCCAGCTTCTGTGTTGGACCTTCCCTTCCAGAGGAGTAACTTTTACCCTAGGATTGCAACTCTGTGTGCCTCTTGTCACCAGATACATTATCCCCCTTTCTGGACCCTTTTTCTAGCTTTATCTTGGGGTGAGTGGCAGTTTGTGTGGGGTAACTCTCAGCATCATTCCCGCTTCCTTAGTGTCGGCATCCATATTTACTGTTCTAAGCATAGTCTCTCCAATCCATTTATCATGCCTTTGTTCTTTCATCCATGTCATTAATGCAAATACCATGTTGGCTCAAATCCTGCAGAAGTCAATGACTGCTGACCAGATGCAGAGCCCAACCACCATCAGCATCTTCAGTTTTTTAATGAGAATTATCAAAAGTACTTCATTCCATCACCTAAGACTTGCACCGCTCCCCTATAAATAGCAAAATGAAGTCCTGTTCTCAGTGATTCTGTTTCAGCTTGTAATTGATCTCTAAACTTCTCTGTAAAAGGCAGGAAGCAGAGCCCTGTTTTCTGCTGGGAACAATGCTCTGGTGTTAAACTAAGGCAGGGTAGACACTAGTCACATCCCCTGAAGCCAGCGGAACTTTTCCTGTCACCAAGGGATCATGAAAGAGCGCTGAGCTACCAAACTTCTGGTGATTCCTTTGTTACTGTTGCTGAAAGTAACCAAAACTCACATCTTCCATTCTCTGTAAGGTTTGCCATTTGTTCCTTATGGTTAATATTGAGGGACTTTTTGCTCACAACCAACTTTCAATATAAATATAAATATATATTGAATTTTATATATATAATTATATAAATATAAAATTATATATTTATAAATATATGAACATATATATACACTCTCAGTACACACATTAGTCTTTTAAAATTGACTTTGGTGTCTGATTTTTGCCCTCCAAATTGGTTTTATCTGAGGATAAATGTTTTAAATAAGACCCAAATAGGAAACTGAGAAAGAAATCATTGTTTATAAAGCCTTTACCAGGCACACTGCTAAGCATTTTAGGGTGGCTGTCCTATGAAACAAATAATCATCAAAACATAATTTTTAAGTGCATTCAGTATCCAAGTATGTTTTTAAGTGAACTTTTGTGCTTGTTTTTCAGTTCTCTTACATTTCCCTTTTAAAATGCTTTTATTTATTTCTTGAAATGATTTATTTTATTGACCACAGTTTAGTGTTTAGTGAAAACTTAATAATAATAAAATAATAATAATAGCAACAACAAAACTTAAGATTTTCTCTGGAAAATAATGCATTTAATTTTTATTCCTTATAAGAAAGGACAAAGTAGAATAAAATACTTTAAGACATTGAAAAATTTGACTTGTTTAAAGTGGAAAGCAGGTTGTCTTCCCATCTTCTATAATCTGCATTCACGGACCACAGTGATGACTTGCCAGTAAGTTTCAGGAAACATTTGGGGGGAACCTGTTAAACAGTGGGGTTACCTACTAGCTACCTTGCTCATCACCAGGTCTCTAGACCATTACCCAGGGTGTAAGAGACAGAAGGAATCTTGTAATTTAACTCTAAAGTCTGTCATTTTCTCGTCTTCCTCAGGCAGTGCGGGCACGCCAGTAATGTTTAACAAGAACGGGGACGCACCTGGGCGTTATGACATCTTTCAGTACCAGGCCACAAACACCACCAACCCTGGTTACCGTCTGATTGGACAGTGGACAGATGAACTGCAGCTCAATGTGAGTTCTACCTATTCCTCTTCCTTCGCTTACATGATGAATGAACAGACATTTATCATGCTCAGTTTGGCAGAGGTTTCTTGTCTGTATGTGAGCATCTGCGAGTGAACATGCAGCGTGTTACAGGCATCAGCAGAGACTGATAACCAGTAATAACAGTGATGATGATGGCGGCGATAGGAAATGCTTGTGGAGCTCATGCCTGAGCTACTCAGCAACTGTGTGAGTCATCTCATTTAATCTGAGGTTCTGATAGCTTAACAAACAAGTTACCAGCTAATAATTTAATACTTTCTCGAGCTCTTTTTTGGGTTGGATCCTCTTAGGAAGTGGAGACAATTTGATGATTGGGTCTCTTGGTGATTTTTACTAGGAGATCAGAGCATAAGAGATGTGCAAGAATTACGCCTGAAAAAGAATAGGAGGTGCTTATGGGAACTGGGAAAGGAGATGTCTGGTTATTTTTGTGGTTGTGGAGCATCCTTGTTTGTGTCTCGTTTCACACATGATGACAGAGTGGCCTTGTTTATCTTGTTCCATCATAGTCATGGAGTGGCCTTGCCTGTATATCACTGATGTTCCCCCGAAGTGGCCCTGTTTGGAATACGCCTGCCTAGACGTTAGCTGACAGCCTTCCAGCCCCCTTTTATTTGTTTATTTTTTTTACTTTCTTAATATATCAGGTTCAACATTAAAAAATGTGCTTCTAGTAGTACTTCTAGTGCCTTATTTGTAACTAATGATGAGTTTAAAGGAATATTGAAATATTTCAATATTCCTTTAAACTCATGGGCTAGGATACCTCCATCCTACCAGAGACCCGCATGGCTGGAGCTCAGCCCATCACACGTGTCCTGCTTTTCCTCCCCAACGGGAAGGAACTGAAATGGGTCAGACTGGAGCTTGGTGAGTAAGGTCCTGGAGCCTGGGGTGTGGGGGTGGCGGAAGTCAGAGGAGTAGGCGTACTGCATCGCCTTTTCTGTTGAGATTCACTGGACTGGGTTACACTTCAAGAAAGTTCTACAGCAGGTCCCTCGATGTGGTTCTGTTCAGGCCTTCAACAGGTTGTTTGAGGTGCACACACACTAGGGAGGGCAGTCTGCTTTCCTCGGTTTCCAATTCAAATGTCCATCTTATCCTGAAACACCTGTATAATGTTTAAACAAATATCAGGGCACCCATGGCCCAGTCAAGTTGACACATACAGTGACCCATTTTACAGGCCCTATCCCAGAAGAGTCCCTTCATGGTCTCTTCCAAACCTGGAATTGATGCCATTAGCCTTTATTGGTCTACACCTTGGGAGGCACTCTGGAAATTACTGAGAACAAGGCTTTTTGAGCGTAGAACACAGAGTTGATGTCTTGGGGGCAGTGGGGCTTGGGTCATGGTTTTTAGAGAAGAGGGTTGTGCATAAAGCAAGGATGGGGGGGTGTTGCTGAAGTCATGATGGGCCATCTACCTCATTTGCACATTGTCCTGCCTGGCTCTGCTTGTGTCTGTCCAGTTCTACTTATCTCAAGGCCCACTGTCCCTGTGAGCTGACATGAAGTTTGGGTCCAAAGGATTCTGATCTGGAGTCCAAGAATTGATGGACAGTAGCGGTGAATGCTAAGGTCCAAAACCAAACAGAATGCTGAAAGTATCCTGACCTCAAGGCATGTTTTGCAAGCAAAAATAGAAAATACAAGCAAAACAAATAAACAGAACCTCATGGGTAAACCCAAGGGGTAGCAATCAAAAGCACAACCAAGGCAGCATAGCCTGGCTAACGTACCCCAGGTGTGTCTTCATGGGGCGTTGCCTGTATGATACACAGGTGGGCCAGCCAGAACTGAAGGTGGACAGTCAAGGTCCATGATACACATGTGAGATGCTCAGGACCCTTGTAAGACCCCAGAGGTTAAATGAATGCGTTCATCTTTTCCAACATAATTCCCTGCACCAGTGTTAAATTTCTAACGTGTGTAATTTGTCCATCTGTACAAGGGTTCCCAGCCAAGCGTCTCCCACTTTACATATTAGCTGGGAGTTCTCAAGTCCACTATTTTTAAGAACCAACATCGACACTGATGTCAGTTTTCCTTGTTGGATTTGTATTTTATCCTTTATAAGGACTGTATTTAATTAGCCATTCAACAACTTTTTGTTTTGTTTAAAAGTACCTCTCATGTGATGAGTGTTGTAAGAGGCAGTGGGAACACAATAATGTCAAAACAAGCATGGCCCCTGTTCTTGGATAACTGAAGACTGAGGATAGAGCTGGATGGTAAAGAAGAGAGATGTATGTGGAAATTCCAGTGTGACAAGAGATATGGCAGGAGAGAGAGTGATGGAGGTAGAGAGGGACCTACTGGATGAGGCGTATGAATGACCCACCGAGCCACGGGAGAAGGCAGGCGTGGCAGTGGTGTCACGAAGGGGGGGGGGAAGAAGTTAGGGCAGTAGGTAAGAGCCGAGGCAGGCAGCCCCTTGTAGGTTGTAATAAATGTTTTTAAAAACTTTGTTCTGAGCGCCTGTAAAAGCCATGAAGAAGTTATAAAGCAGGAGAGTGACTGGATCAAATTTAGGAATAAAAATTCCTTTGTTTGCTGAGAAGGTAATAGAAATGAGAGTAGAAAGACTAATTAAGAGTGCATTGCAGCTGTCGAGCTAAAATAGGATGGCTTAGTGAAGGGGTTCTCAAACTTCAGTGTGCTGCAGAATCATCTGGAGGGCTTGTGAAAACACAGATTGCTGGCATACCCCCAGGTTCCTGATTCAGAAGGTCTGGGAGTGGAAGGAGGCCAAAATATTCACCTTCCTAAGGAGTCACTGTATGATACTGATGGTACTTTGAGAACCGCTGGCTTAGAGAGTGTGGTAATAGTGGAGACGTAATGAAATGAGTGGAGAATGTGTCTGTTTAATATGTAATACACATTTGTATATACATATATAATTACATATGTATCTTACAGGAAGAATACCATAATTTAGTGATGGACTCAGTACTGGGAAAAATAATCAGTATTAAAACTGAAGGGAAAATAGTAACTGCGACTGAAGGAAAAATAGTCAAGAGTGAATCCCATGTTTATAGCGTCCCCTGTGGCTGGTGTCACGTGAGGTTAGGGAGACTGCTGGGAGTGGGAGGGGTAAAACAGAATCCTAATTTAGCCTTCCCAAATGTCTGAGAGCCAAAATGAAATGCACAGAAGTCTAAAACTCAGAAGAGAGTTTTGGGTTATAGTCATTTTAAAAGGTAAATTGTTAACCTGTACATGGCCTTGAAATCCATTAGAGAGAAAAAATATACTAGCAGGGAACCCAAGGCCTTGAAAACCTCATAGGAAATGAGAGTTCCAGTCCGACTATTCCAAATAGCTCCCGATTTCAAATATTCTGTTTAATTTGCCTAGAGAGTTGAGCCGACCACATTACCTTGGATTTTTGTTTTTGTTAATGGAAGCTAAATCTGGAGGTATGCTTGACTTAGCATTAAATAGGAGCATTTTTGATTCTGCTTTTCTTGCTGAGGGTGTGATAGGAAGAGCAGACAGGACCTGAATCCTCAGCCGGACCCAGTAGCTTATGCTTGGTATTACATGCGCCCTAAAGGTGTGAATGGCTGAGCCGGGAACACGGCTATTTTTAGACCCAAGAGCCTCTGGGTTAATTCAGAATGTAGCCACTGAATTTCAATTGGCCTTGAAAGGAAGTTACTCTATAGATGCCTTTTATGGGCCCCTTAAGATATTGTCAAATCTAACTTGAATCACAATGAAAAGACAAAAGAGGAGGCCAGATAGTGCCCAGAGGGCTCTCCGCCCCCCTGACCTAGAGACCCAGGGCACAGCCCAGGTTGCCTGTCCAGTGTTTGGTGTCCTGTCCAAAGTTCCCCTGCTCAAGCTGTTGCTTTTGCTCTAGTTACTCTGATTCCGTTAAGAGTTCTTTGAGAGCGATATATGGGCAAACTTCATTTTGTAGGTTTGCTTTCTCCTAGTCAACGGAATAAAACAAAGCATTTCAAGTAACAAGTGTACTTGTTCTCATTCATGAAGACGGGAGGTACTCTTTCAATCCCCAGTTAGATCATCTCTTGCAAATGGAATTTTCAAGAGAGTTTTCTCTATGGTCAGTAATTGCAAATGACTTTGTTAGCTGAGAAAGCAGCGGTTTTGAGTCTCAGCCCCAGCGCTGTGGACCGCACTGCTCCCCGTTCTGTAGCCAGTCCTTGGGAACTGAGGTGCCTGGGAGGGCCCTGTCTGTTTCAGAATGTACTGCCCCCCCCACCCCCCCGTCCTCTGGTAGCTCCAGGCCCCGTCCCCTCTGCGGGCTCACAGATGACCACACGGTGTGCTTCTGAAATACTTCTGCACAAGCAGGAATTCATCAGAAGGAAATCATAAAGAGCAAAGCCATTTCCTCTCCCAGCGGCCAGCCCTACAGAAGTAACCCTGGTTTATTTTCTCAGGTTTGTATTGTACTGTGCAGAGATGCTAGAGAACATCATTCCTGGCGGAGAAGCAGGAGAGGGGATAAGGCAGCAAAGATGCATTGTTCATCTGCAGTGTGTCAGGCAGGATGGTAGCCAATGGAGATGCTCAGAGAAAGGAGGGGCAGGTCCCTGGACTCGGAGTTCACAGAATGGAATCAGCGCTCTGTAATAGGTCTGCTGCATTCACAGATAGGCGCTGCTTTAAGGCACTGACTTATATTTAAACTGGACTTTGAAGGATAAATAGTACTTCCCAAGATGGAGAAGAAGACAAATAAATGTTTTAAAATGAATAATGCAGTACTAGTTAAACAATGGGATGGGGAATGTGTTGGAAAAAGGGCAAAACATGAAAGATAGTTGAAAAAATTATGAATTTATGATGTGAATAAACTCTACATTTATTTTGCATATTAGAAACAAAGGTGATTTCTGCTGTCTTTCATTTATTTGCAATTAGGAGGAGATTTAGATAGGCCTAAAATGTGTGTTTTTCAAATAACTGAAATTTTCTTTGAAA